GACTTTTCCCTCATGTGGACCCTTTTCTTCCCCTGCTCACATTTGGGGACCCTACCTCCCACCGTGTTCTTACCCAGTTTTGCCTTTGACCTACTGGGCTTCTCCGGTGTGTGGATTTTTCTCAGTCAGGCTTTGACACCCCTTGCTGTTCTGCCCTCCAGATGCAGAGAGGCTATGTGTAGAGTGACTCCCTATTTTGGATTACTTCCTGCCTCCCACACATATACCTCATCTGCTTGGCATCTCCTAGTGGCATTTAGGACTAAATTGTTGAAGGAAACAAGGGATTAAGAACCATTGAGTTTCTTACGATATGGTTCTAGTCAGTGAAACAAAGATAAGAGTAGGAAGATAGACGAACAGTTTTTTTTGCCTTGTTTAGATATGAGAGTAAAAGTTTATGTTTTAAAATGAACCTGGGGTGACTGTTCATAAAGCAGAGTGTCAGTAGAGTAGTCAGGCGGAGATGGTAGAAGTGAGAACCATTCATGTCTATGTAATCCTTGAAAGTCCAGGTTTCAAAAAAACACAAAACTATAGGGAGGGGGAGAACTGGCAGTGGAGAGCACGAGCAGTGCTACCTGAGGACACCCTGAGATGGAACACCAGGGGAAATTTGGGACCAGCCTGTCATGAAGGAACAGAGAATGAGTGCGCAACAGTGTAAAAAACTACAGAAATGGCAAAGCATTATAACAACTATTTTAAAATTTAGTTATGGTGGAATAAGTCCAGGATCGTTTGAGCAAATCAGAAATATATAAGTTAAATAACATAAAGAGTAGTACTGTTTTTGGATTGAGAAATAGCCTTTTGTATCCTTTCCAGTAAAGACAAGGCATGGGATTTATTCAGTTCAGATACATAAAACTGGGGGTTCTTTGCTGCATATATGATGATATTCCCCAGTAATACCCATTCACGTTGATTTCATTAATCTGTAATACGGAGGATCTGTTGAATTTTGCAGTCTCTAATTTTTGTATGTGGTTTCCTAGTTAGCCACACTATAGGAGGTTTAGAACTAGAATTACTCAAAAAATGGTAAGTATGTTTGAAATATTAATAGTTTTAGTTACATAATTGTTTTTATAGCTTGTGGTAGAAAGAAATTTGATAAGAAAAAATTATGATTTAGAAAATAATTTATAGGCAAATGCTGAAATACTAAGATTTATTCCCTAACCAGATTCAAAAATACTGCAAGTGACTTGTTCAATACAGGGTGTAACTTTCGAAAATGTGTTTTGAATAACAGATATCATATTGCTAACCTGGCTTGGAATTATTCTTTGGTGAATAAAGGTAGGCTCAGTGCCTGACTGGTTTTAAAATAAAAAGACTTAATGGTTATTTACTTACTAAACAACATGTTTTAAAGCTTGAGTGCTTACTGAGCCAGGCAATTTTGTGGGTGCTGGAGGTACCAGTGGCAAAAAGGAAAGTCTTTTTCCTGGTAGAGCATAAATTCTAGTGGGGGAAAGAGAAAATAAATAAATGGGTGGGCAAATAGGCCCTTCGTATACAGCAGGTACTGTTTCAGTGCTGTTATACTTAGTGATATGGAAAAGAGTAAGTCAGGGACAAGAGGAAAAGGTAGTGTGATGGGGGGTTTGCTATTTTAAGTTGGGTGGTTAGGGAACCTGACATCGATTAGGGGACATTTCAGCAGGACTCGGAAGGAAGTGATGGAAAGAACCATGCAGGTACATGAAAGTATTCAGGAAGAGGAAGAGTCAGTGCAAAGGCCCCAGTTTGTAGCACTCTCTGCTCTTTGAGAAAGAACCAGGACAGAAAGGGTGGAGCAAGGTTAGAAGGAGTGTGGAAGTGAGCTCAGAGTGGTGGAACATGTGTAGATTTTATACGGTCTCTTAACAGGCAGCCAGTAGGGACATTAGCTTTGACTTGGACTGAGATCGGAAGCTCTTGCTGGATTTTGAGTAGTAGAATTATAAGACACAGCGTATTTTATCATCTTCTCCAGGTACTTACTGCTAAGTAGCTTGACCATAGTAATTAATAAATAAGTTACTAATTTGATATATAAAAAGTTTATAAGATGAAATGAAAATGTTAAGTGGCATGACCAGAACATACACTCCTGATAATTAGGGTTCAGTAAAAATCATAAATTCAGTAAATATCATTGTTACGGTTTTGTCTCGGTGTCCCCTCAAAGGCACATGCGGGCTTTTAGAGTTTAAGATTGATTCATGGGTGTGAGTGCCACACCTGCCCTGGGGCAGTAGTTTGCATATGTAAGGGAGAGAAAGAGGCTGCTTGCTGCCACTCCTCTCCTTTTGCTCTTGTTGCTTTTGCTGTTTTCTGCTGCCATGAACTGTTGCCCTCTGCCCTGTGCCGCTCTGCCTTTCAGCCAAGTATGGACTGAAACCTCCACAAACTGTGAGCTCAATAAGCTTTTCCTTCCTTAATTTTGGGCATCAGGTATTTTGTCTGAGCAACAAGAGAAAAGTAACCAAGACAATCATAAATTGCTTGCATTAGAGAATTCCCAGCTTTGAGTTATTCTTCCTGACCATCAGTACAGTTAGGCTTATTTTGTAGCTCAGATCTTCTGTGTTACACCTGCCGTGTAACTTAAAATGTTCATATTGTGTAGTCATTTGGAGGCTTTGGTAACTTGCTTACATTACTCATTTCATTAGTGTGAATGGAATTCCTCAGTGTCTGCTGCAGTTTCCATGTTAGTTTTTGCCTTGGAATGCTCTTTGAAGCTCACAGTTCTGGTTCAGGTGAAGACAGATTCTCAGAGCACCATGTAATGTGTACCATGTCCACATTTATTCCTCTAAGCATCCTTACATAAGGAGTTCAAATGGTGATTGGGAGAAAGGTCTTTTTTTTTTAAAACAAAGTTTATGAGAAACTATTTTAAAAGTTCGTGAGAAATACACAAGCATGCACTTGCGTGTGCACGCGTGTGCACACACACAGAAAGAGAAATTAAGTGTGAAATGCCACAGAATGAAGAAATAGTGGCAAGTTACCCTGTATTTTCCAATGTTTCTTACATTGAAAATTGTGATTGTGATTCTTCTTACACAAGAAAATTGTGATGTATTTGTACATCAGGGAGAAAATAAAGTGTATTAGATATGGCATGAGGTACAGTGCCACTGTGAGTTCAGTGTTAATGAGTCAATATTAAATAAGTTGTCTTTACTCAGAAGCACATGAAAAAGGTTATGCATTGATTGGTTGATTAAAAGTATTGCGAGCAGAGGCTTGTAGGAACTGTATTTTCCCCTATTTCAATAATTACAGCAACTTTATAGTACACAGTAACTAGTTAACTAAGGGTACTGTTTTATAGAAACTTTAGGTATTGGAAATATTTTATAATTTCTTCTTTCTGAAACTATTTCTGGTATGTTAAAATACTTGTATGTAGTGTTGTAATGTAAAAGCTGATTTTACCGTGGGTTCTAATTTTTTAAAAGGTTAAATGATACTGATTAATGTGTAAAGAGATACAACTTGTGATTTTCTTTAGAAATTTCTTTTGGTGACCTTAGGGATTGAATAAAGAAACATTTGTAACATTATGCAGACTATTAATATATACCTGAAGCATATTGAGTGCTCAGTGCATATTTGTTTGAGTAGTAATCTTTGAGCACTGAAGTGATTCTGGTTTTAGAAAAGAAGGCAATGTCAGTGTTACAGAGTCATGTTCTCTTAGGACTTTATCATACGCAGTTATTGTTGGCTGGGGTACATGAAGAAGACTCAGTTGTGTGTCTAGTTGTCTGCATGTTGCTGGAAACTGGTAATCTTGACACCAATTATCTTGTCTGCGATGTAAGGAACATTTTCAATTTAAAAATTCTGTAATTTTCTTTGATCAATATTATTCCTGACCTTGAGTCATTTCCATGTTTATCACATCTGATTTCTAAGTAAAAAGTGCAATTCACTGCAAAATATATTTACCATTAGATTTTACTTTATTGAACTCAAGTTCAGTTTTTCATCAGTTATTGATAAAAATAAACTATATATTTGTTCTGTCTTTACATTGTATACTTCTGTTGGTAAAAAGAAATAAAAGAACATCCTTGAATTTTATATGGATTTTTTTTTTTAAGATATAGGACTGTTGTTTATGTTTGATATTCTAAATCATATAAAAAGGTTTCTTTAAAAGATTAGAATTAAGAACTTTAAGAGCAAGAAATATTTTTTAACAAAGTTTTGTTAATCTTTTCTGTGTTGAAGTTTCAAGTTTTATTTTTCGGTTTGTTTTGGAGTTTTTAAATTTTAAATTTTTACTAGTACATGTTTGCAGTAATGAAACACATCCCATCCCCCCTCTTGCCAGCACCAGATTATTTGTCATATAAATCCTTATAAAGTTAATTATCATGCACACAGACTAACAACCAGCCTGTGAAGTTTCCAGCTTTAGGTAGTGGGTGGTCACCTTTTTAAAATACGAATAACGTGTTGGCATTATTGTAGGTAACATCAGATGTGCCTAGATACCAACAAAGGATGCAGTTACAGTGAACACAGTGAGAAGATATTCTTTCACATTTTAAGAGCCTGTGTTAGGAAATATAAAAATAAACATGCTTGATACATAAAATTTAAGTGAAATGGTAAAGAATTAATTTAAAGGGTATAATACTACTCCATAAAGTGCAATTTATTTTGAAGTATTGTTGTCTGGTTTTTATGCAAGTTAAAAATCATAGTATGAACAAAAAGAAAAAAATGAAAAAAATCATACTGTGGTCATATAATTTCCTGCATTTTCCCTTTTGCATAATAGTATGCAAATAAGTATGTTTTCATGATTTTTTTTGCAAACATCATGTTTAGGGAGTATGCTGTATATCCCATCTCATGCATTCTTTTATCTTGAACAACTGAGTTTTTATTTTTATTTATATTTACCTTTTTTCTTTTCTTTTTGCTTTTGTGGATAAAGCTATAGTAAGCATCCTCTGTGTAATTTTTTTTTTTCTCTGTTTTAGGATTACTTCCTTAGGATAGCTTGCCAGAAGTGGAATTACTGGGTCAGAGGGTATGAACTTAAGAACTTTCTTTTTTTCAAATGAAAGTTTTTGTTTATTTGCTGTCCAGTTGATTTACAGTCATTGTAGAAAAATGAAATCGTAATAATTATACTTCTTACCTATCAGAACACTGTGTCTGAAGGTAAGATTCTGTAGTCAGAATATGGGAAGTTTTCAGGGTGAGAAAAAGGCTTTTTTACTTGATTTGCTTCTTTATTTCCTGAACTTGACTGAGCACCGAATATGTTTTGTGTACCTTTTGTAAATATACTTTTTATGGACTTTTTACACAGAATATAGTTTCTGTACTACTGATCTAAAATTTAAAATTGTTTTATTGGTCAAAGAACTAAATTAAACTATATAGCTTAGTTTTAAGAATTATTAAAAGAATATCAAAGTTTATTATATGTTTTTTGGAAAAGTTAGAACTTTCACAATTTAAACTTTCTGTATTGATTACTAAGAACATGTTAATGCCTTGAGAGTATCACATTTCTTTTGCAGTCTCTAATGATAATTAGAGTACAGACACAAAACATGAGAAAGTACAAACCTGTTTCTGCCTCTCATTTTCTTTGCAGAATGTGAAAGCCTTTGCATCTTCTGATAGTCTGGCCAAGGTTCAGGAAGTGGCAAGCTGGCTTTTGGAAATGAATCAGGAACTGCTGTCTGTGGGCAGCAAAAGGCGACGGACAGGAGGCTCTCTGAGAGGTAACCCTTCCTCAAGCCAGGTGGATGAGGAGCAGATGAACCGGGTGGTGGAGGAGGAGCAGCAGCAGCAGCAGCTAAGACAACAGGAGGAGGAGCACACCGCAAGGAACGGTGAAGTTGTGGGAGCAGAACCTAGATCTGGAGACCAGAATGATTCCCAGCAAGGACAAGTGGAAGAAAACAATAATCAGTTTATTTCAGTAGATGAGGACTCCTCAGGAAACCAAGAAGAGCAAGAGGAAGATGAAGAACATGCAGGTGAGCAAGATGAGGAGGAGGAAGAAGAGGAGGAAATGGACCAGGAAAGTGATGATTTTGACCAATCTGATGACAGTAGCAGAGAAGATGAACATATACATAGTAACAGTGTCACAAACTCCAGTAGTACTGTGGACCTGCCCATTCACCAACTCTCCTCCCCGTTCTATACAAAGACAACAAAAGTGAGTATATTCAGTCTACGGTTAATGTGAGGCACCTCACACCTCTGTTTTAAGTGCAGTGAAATTCTCCTCATAGTCTTTGTATTACTACTAATTAATATTCACTATATAGTAATAAAATGAACTAATTTTGGCTTTACAAAAGGTATTAGACAGTATTATAAATAATAATCATATATATCATATATTAAAGAAATATTGTAACAGTCTTTTTACAAACAGAGTTCCTGATAATTGTAAGACACCTCCATAGACATTATCCTAAGTCACAGTTTTTTTTTCAAGTGTTACTAAATTTTGACTTTTGAAAAAAAGTAGGAGGCATAAGATCATTTTAAAGGTCCCATTTAAAAATGGTGATGTAGAATTAGCTTTCTACAGTTTTACCCAGCATAATTTCCAAATTTTATTTTTTAGGCAGTTTCTTAAACGTTGTAGAAAACTAAACTTGTTTATTCATCATTCCTTATTTGCATTCCATTGTTTGGATTGGTTTATTCTTTAAAAGCATATTGAAAACTATCAAAACTGAGAACAAATTTTCCCCAGTCACTAACGGTATATTTTTGTGGGAACCTATGGCAAACAATATATGTTAGAAATTCCAGACTGTCCCAGTGTTAAGTTGGTGACAGTGGCAGTTAAGAATTGTTGCTTATTAAGCCCATTCACTGTGCAGAGGTCTATGACAATAAGGGAAGGTAAGTTATGGAGATTCACCCCAACCAAGTTATACTGTAAGTGACAAGAGGTTTTACCCTTACCTGCCAGTTTAAAAATTCTTTTTCTTTCCAGGTGTCATGCTGCCCCCTGTGGTAGAATTTGATGCACAATGTGAAATAAGATTTTCATAGTTCCTTAGTCTTAAGGTTTCAGACCCTGGGGTGTAATGGCACTCTAATGCTGTACTGTGTCATATTTGAAATAATCAGTGATACCCTTTAAAAAGTAGAGAGTGTTCAGTGAGCTACTTTTCTTTGTAGTATTTAACAGAGCATCACTGAAGGTACAAGACCTCAAGGCTAAAGTTGCAAGAGGAAGAAGTTGACAATGTAAAAAAGTGACAGAGGTCACTCCCTGGAGGCCATCAGACCCGGTTCTTAACCAGAGGTTGTTTGCTGGCTATTTCTCTGAATTTCAGTAGCCTTCTTGCACATTCAGGAATTGTGTTGCTTCTGTAGATAAGAATGTCTCTTCAATTTTAACTCTGTCTAGAGCTTTATATTTCTACAAAGTCTTGCTTTCTGAAAAGATGATCAACTCATGTTAAAGAATCTTTAACACTTTTTTGAGATTAACTCATTTCCTTTTAAAAATGTTTCTACTAATATGAAAAGCAAATAAGGTCAGATCATGTATCCTCCTAATCTTTTCATGAAAAGAGGCTTGTTTGGGAGCTAATGTGGCCTAATCCTGCTCTCCCATATGTAGGAGATGGTGGGAAGGGAGGGAAGAGAGCACTGTGGACGCGATGGGTTGTCCCTTAACATTGAGAGTGGTGGTTCTTCGAGTCTAACTCACATCTCATTGCCACTTATCATTTGACCATAAATATGTAATTTCATTGAATCTGTTTTGCTGTCTATAGATGCCAACTTCTCAAGGTTTTTGTAAGGATTAAGTGAAGTAAAATATGCACAAGTATGTGCCTAAGAAACTCAGGTAGTTAATAAATACAGGGCCATGACCTCATTTTGTCCACTTCTCTCCTGTCTCTTCAACTCTAATCCTACAAAATAAGCTGTCCTCCACAGTGGAGAGCAGTGTATATTTTTCATGACCTTTAGAGTTCAGTTGTCACCCTCTAGTGGAAAAAAATATAAGTAGAAAAAGAAAGACTTTTTCCCCCCTTTTCTTCTTTTGGCCAAACTTGGGATTGAACCCATGGCATTCACAGAGCTATATCCCTAGTCAAAATTTTAAGACAGTCAGAGGCAGGAGAATTGCAAGTTTGAGCTCAGCTTAGGCAACTTAGAAAAATACTTTTAAAAAGTATATACAGGAGGTTAAGCAGCCTGTTACAATAAGTTGGGCCCATCTTTCATATAAATAAAAATGTGACAAATTTTCAAGCAGATGCTACTCACAAATATTCTCACTTGATAGGTATATACCATTTTCTTTCATTAGAATTTTTCAGTGTCTTTAAATTTTTTCTAATCTTGAATTAAAACTTTTGTATGTTTAACTGATTTGTGAATTTTCATTTGGATGCCAAAATAAATTTTAGCTTATAATAAATTTCTAATTGTTATTAGTAAAGTTTTAAAATACTTAATTACTAATACTTTAAACCATAATAGGTCTAATGTTGGCCATGTTTAAATCCGCCTGATACACTATAAGTAATTAAAGATTATTGTAATTATGAGTTTTCATTCAAAATGAAGAATATTCTTCCTATAGAATGGAGAATTTAAAAACTTGATATACTTTATACACATGGTAAAATGCTCTGCAATATCCCTGAAGTGTTTCAGATAGTTTCATATGTGTGTATAATTCCAGTGACCTGGGATTTTTTTAATGTTTTTGTTGGTAGTAGGAAAGGTAGAATGAAGAAAGCGGATAAAGGAGTATATAATGATGGGTTTCCTTTTTTACTTTGGTGAATAACTGCAAAGATATGTCTTAGGCTTGTGTCTTTTGCTCCAGCCTTGGTTGTTCAATTCTAGCTATTTGACATCAGCTGAGTGGTCCACTAAAAACCAAAATCACTTTTTCTTTCCCCAAGCCAATCGTTACATTTTTCTCCCAGATTTTTCTTTTCTTTCTTTTCTTTTCTTTTCTTTTTTTGTTTTTTTTTTTTTTGGTACTGTGAACTGAACTCAGGACCTTGTGCTGCAGAGCTAGATCCCTGGCCCAGATTTTTCTTATCTTTGTTAATGTCCTAGTTTTTGGTCTGTTGATGCACACATGGTTTGAATTGTTTTATTATCTTGAATACTTAATCACCCTATCAAGCACTTGCAAGATAAAAATTGGAGGGTCAGTTCTTTAAAATGTTAACTACTTATACCAGGCTACAGTGCCATGTTCTTGACAGTGAACTAACAATATGAATGGCTAGATTAATTTTAAATGAATTTTCAGCTCTACATAGATCAGTAATTTCAGAACAAATACCTGGTGCCCCATTTCCTGCAAACCTATATGGACAGTTGAAGTCTTCCAAAATCTCACCATAGTTTCTCTCTCCCTAGTTTTTTTGTCCATGTCTTTTTGCTTTGAATGGCATCCCGCTACACACCAGCAAGCCAGATCTTTTAAACCCAGCCCAAATTCCATCTCTCCGCTTGATGTTCACTCAGAATCCGTAGTTTCCATTAGGTTTCTCTGATGGGTTAGGATATGAATCTATCAGCATAGTACTATGCGGAATAGTTTCACTGTCCTAAAAACATCCTTTGAGTTCTGACTTTTATTCCTCTCTCCCCCAACCCCTAACAGCCACTGATCATTTTACATTTTTTAAGTGTTTCTGTAGTATCAGTTTTTCTATACTGTCATATAATTGCAATCATATGTAGCTTTTCAGATTGGCTTCTTTCACATAATAATATGTATTTAAGTTCGTAGCTTGATAGGGCATTTCCTTTTAGCACCGAGTAATATTCCATTCCCTGGGTGTACCATGGTTTATCTATCATCTACTGAAGGACATCTTGATTGTTTCCATATCTTGGCAGTTATGAAAAAAGTCAATATAAATATCCTGTACAGGGTTTTGTGTAAAAATAAGCTTTAACTTTTTTGGGTAAATGAGAAGTAGTACAATTGCCATGTTGTATGGTAACAGCATCTTTACTCTTGTAAGAAGTGGCCCACCTGTTTTCCAGGGGCTGTGTGGTCTTCACATTTCCACCAGCAGTGAGTCAGAGTTCCTGTTGCTTCTACTCACTAGTGTTTGTTGTTGCCAGTGTTTTAGATTTGGGCTATTTTACTTGTATGTGGTGTCTCGCTGTTTTTATTTGTAATTCTGTGATGGCATATGGTGGGGAACATCTTTTTGTGTGCTTATTTCCCATGTAACAGTGAGGTGACTGTTTACATCTTCTGTCCATTTCAAAATCAGGTTGTTTTCTTACTGTTGAGTTTTAAGAGTTCTTTGTGTATTTTGGATGAGTTTTTTTTTTTTTTTAATCAGGTATGTCCTTTGTGAATATTTTCTCTCAGTCGTAGCTCATCATTTTATTCTATTGATAATGTCTTTCCAAAGGCATATATTTTTATTTTTAATGAAGTCTAGCTCATCAATTATTTCTTCATGGAGGATGCTTTTGGTGTTGCACCTAAAATGTTGACACACAATACTTAAGGTCATGTAGAGTTTTGCTGTGTCATCTTTTAGGAGATTGGTTTCCTTTTTTTTTCTTTTTTTGGTCTTTTTGAGACAGGACTTTGCTATGTAGTTCATGCCGCCCTTGAATTTACTTTGTAGCCTCTGCTGGCCTCAAACTTGCAGCAATCTTTTTGCCTTAGCCTCCTGAGAGCTGGGATTACAGGCATGCACTGCCACGCCTGGCCTTAGGAATGTTACAGTTTTGGGTTTTTGTTTGTTTTCGTAGAATCATATATTGATATGTTTAGCATGCTAGTAAATTAGAGAAAGTATTACTACGACTTATTTAATATGAAACATCATATGTAAGCGTTAAATTACTTTAAGAATTTTATGTTTCTTCACTGAACACTAGAGGGCCATGTAGCACCTTATTGCTATCCATAGAGCTGCTTTTCATGTACTTAAAATATTTAGTATGTGCTTGTTTCTCTTGTACTTTGTGTTCTATTCATTATTTCTTGCCCATTACTGGCATAAATATTTGGTGGAGTAATGAGCATTGTCATAATGTAGAATACTTTGGTTTTTGTTTTTGCTTCTGCTTTTTTAATAAGTTGCTGGAACATTTCCATTTTGCTATTTAGTAGCAATGAAAAGTGATGATAGAATGGTTCTTAGGATAAATGTTCACATGCGTGCAAACTTACTGTGCTTT